TATGCAAATGAGGTCGAGTTAAATATAAACCTGTTTCCAGGAGACAAAACTACCAAAAGAAAATCCGTATCCCCACAATTACGAGTGAGTTGTTGAAGAAAAGGGTTTTTGTTTGGGTTTTTATATCAGATGTATACAACTAGAAAGAGCGGTGCGAACAACTACCAGCATTGTCTCCACGAAATAGATAACAGTAAAGTCAGCCACAAATATGTTTTAGCTTTTCCTGCTCTAATTCTGTTTTTTTAAATAATCATTTATAAATCCATTGTCAAATACAACACATCAATCATTATTACGTGCTTGCTAATGTGACATGCGGATCTGATGAAAAGTTATGTTCGTGGCCAAACTATACTGTGAATCGCTCATATTAACTCTTTTTATGGCCTCAAGTCGAGCAAGACACAGACAATGAGATCTGGAGCACAAACCGGGGGAGCAGAAGTGTTTGAACCCATGACCGTGGGTTGAGAGACCCGTTTCAGGACCCGGTACATACGAGATAAGTTTTCTTTCCAGGCATAGTAACTAGTGGGTGTGTATGGAGTGTTATAAGAGAACAGTCACACTGGATTAAAGTTCCCATAACGACCTAGCGCCCAAGAAACCAAAGAAAAGGTGTTCATGAATCCACACCGTCGGCTTGAAGAAGAACCTGTACTCGGTCAGACATGTTAAATTTGTTGCACGTAGGCCTTTGGCGGCTTAGTCATCCAAAGCCTAGTCTCTATCTGATATAAAGGTAACAAAGAGGAAAGTTGGAGTTTTAACGAAGAACTTCACTCATGCGCCTGTCTTGTCTTAAAGGTATGTTATTCTCCGCGAGACATGGGCAGTACAAAGAATAAAGATTGAGGGCAGCGACCTGTAATTTCAAAAATCAGATTTGTGGACCTATAATTAGCTGGATCAATTACAATTTGTAGGAGACTTTCCCCTAAGTTACTCCTTTTGCTTCGAAAACTTTGGTTACATACGTGGGCAGTGCAAAGAATATAGATTGAAAACTTTGGTTATATAGATTATGTAGTCTTCAGCGCATTAACTAAAATTATGTCCCGGACCGTTATCTTACATATCAGTTTGAAGTTCTGGATCATCCAGAAGATAGCCCCTACATATTTTTAAAATCATCACACAGTTTACAAACTGTCTGTTTTGCAGGTAAACTTTCATCTTTCATGCTTCCAGATTGAAAACATATTTAAAAAATCAAATAGAACGAAAAGAAAGAAAAATCGAAGGGCCAGAAAATCTTAAAATAGACCCTTCGTAGTCGACGGAGGTAAAACTAGCAGCTCCCAATTCAATGTTCACGAAATGTAATAAAAATGAGGCAAATGCCATTTTATATGTCATTATTTCGTTGAAGAAATCACTACCACTCATATCTTGGGATGAGACGGAAAAGTTTATTTATTGTAAAGCTTAATACGCCAATGGCAAGACGTTAGCCAGGTCAGTGTCTCCTTCAGCAGGATTCATAAATCTCCTCGATGCTGCATCCTTCAGTGCAGCATTTGTGGTGCAAACCTCGCTTTTCGATACCACGTCCGAGCAAGAATGTGCTGGCGTCCATTGAATCCAGAAACTCTGCATCACAGATTACGAGAAAACAAAAGTGGCACAATAATTTTGTTTTCACCCAAATAACTCTGTCTTTTTTGTATATTACTATCAGCCCCACCTTAAAAAATCGACTCTTACACAAATCAACAGAGCGGAGAAACAGGAGGCCTCTTTACATAAAGACAATGTCCTTCTGCAGCCTTCCTTTGCATTGCGTCTACAGTCTGTTGATGGAGACATGCATATATCATGGGGATCAAGGTGGGACCCCCCAAAAAAATTAAGGGGAAGAAAAGAAGCGAAACATAAAAGGGGAACCGAAAAGAGAGGGAATTGGATGAAAACTAAAACTTTTCTTGATTTCAGTTTTCAGTTTCTGCCATCTCTGGAGAGAATGAGTTTTTATGACAGCACCGGTTAAAAGTACTTTGCTTTCACGTTCTTAGAATATGAAATCTTTTCTTTTTGAAAACTCTTCCTGGGAAAGTGAAGGGGCAGTTTCAATACTCAAATTCTATTAGCTTAGGGTTTTTTTGCTCGACAAAAGGTTAGTGAGACACAGTAGTGCAGCCAGGCAAGAGGGAAAACAAACGTTCCCACAGGCCTAGTTGGCCCTTGCCTCGCTTGGCTACGCCACTGGTGGGAGACAGTAATTTAAGTTGATTTTATCTTCACTACCTTGGTCGGAGAATCCATGGAATGTATGGCCAGTCTCACCTACTTTCTCGTAAGCAGTCGCACCACAATAATTGGCACGGTAAGCCCTGCACAAAATACGTCCAAGATAGCCATTATAACACCTTCTATAACTGCTGATAAAATGCACTCTACGGTTAACAAAATAGCAGGTAGCACCGGTCTGAACAAGGATATAATTCTGTCTTCTACGCTACATAGCGTAGAGCCTTGTAGCACATTATTTGACGTTTGTTTGCGGCTGGCACTTGATATTGTGTACCTTTATGCAAAACTAATTGAATCAACAACTCTCTAAGAAATACAATGTAAGCCTAATCAGTGGGAAAACTCAGGAAAAGCATTACATTAGGAAACGCTGTAACGGGAATTTACTGTCGCCTACGATCGTGGTATGATATAAATAACATGCCCCTAAATGTCATGGATGTCACGGCATGAACTCTAGCACTAAACGAAAAATTAGGGTTTTAGAAATAAGTGAAAAATCGAAGAAAAACTACCGATAGCCCCTAAAATACATTTAAATGTTAAAACTCACAGTTATTTCAATAGATGGAAATATCGTACAAGATTGATTGAATTTACCCCCGTAAAATCTTGAATAACTCAAGTATATATGTCACTAATGTTTATTGCCGCCCTTGCATGTACAAACATATCTTTAACAAAAATGAACTTTCATTAACTGCTACCCAGTTGTACCCAGTGAGTGGGATTGTCCGGAATGTCGAACATACACGTTATTGTTTTCGATTGTTCACTGGGAGTATCACTAGGTTAGGAAGATACCTAGCCTGTGACGTGCATTGCATGCGCTTTGTCGTGGGTGCAGGCGAACATGGGTGTAAAGGTATACATTATCATCGTTTGTTCGATCAGGGACCCATTGATCAGCTTAGAGCAAGGTCAGCATTCGGAAAACTGCATCACAGAACACTAACATACGATTAATTGACGTTTAACCACAAAATATTACTCTGCACAGTCTCGAACCAAACGGTGTAAACCCCCTCTTTTCATTTGATATCCAGTCTTCAAGTACCATTATATCAAAAAGCAATTGTGGCCCTGACCAATATTGAATTTTCGGTGTCATAGTCAAAGGTACGAATGTTCAGCACCAACGCTGTGTTTACCTCGGTTAAAATACCAGCAGAACTAAATGTGCCCCTTATTTGACAAAGAATTAGTCAAACACAACTTAGTTACTATGTACTTAAATTCATTTAAAAATAATTGTACTTCAGTGATGAAGTTTGACAATTTTGGCAGTTAATTTATTTTGTGTTTACATTTATTTAAATTTATACTAGAGGTTTTGCAATTATGGTGGAAAATCGCTGAGTTGTATTGGGGGGTTTACAAAACCATCCCAGTCGAGCTTATTGTTCCGGAGATTTTGGCTTTGCGGCACGTTGCCTCAGATGACGTCATCATGACATCACTATTCTTACACGTTTTTTGAGGAAATTATTTCTTCAAGATGTTGTTCCAGCAAGAATACATGTTTTTTAAAAACATTGTATTTTGCCACTCTTTAACACCTGCCAGGGTTGTCGAGGAGTTGCAATTTCCCCCCTTCACCTGACAGATTTACTTTAATTATTGGTTGTCAAAACGGCCAAGTGATCCTAAATTCATGCTCAATTTGCAGAATAGGGCAAACAATCGTGCATTTGAAAATTATCTGAGTGTCATACCTTAAAATCCTCCTTCCCCCGTTGTTGGTACATAAGCCTATGGATTTGACTGCTGACAATTTGCGTCACTCCATCATCAACCCATGCTTCTTTTTCTTTAGTATTAAAGAGAAAATACAAGTTGCAAAGAATGGCAGTGGAAGGAACACTTCCTTTTTATGTAGCTAATCCAGATGGTGTAGAGCAAAGGGTCGATATTGACATAATAAAAACCTCATGTCACGCACACGCGTAATCGTTTACACTGTACATGCTCTGAAGCCAGTTTGTCTACTCCACAGGCTACATGTCGTACATGTATACGAATGACACGCACGTCCATACGTATGTGTGAGTACACACACAAGGATGGCTTTTTTGCCGTGTGGGTCCCGTGAGTTAGGCTAAATGATCTCTCTGGGAAAAAAACGCCTTGAACAAGGCTACGTGCAGACAGAAAGCTTGCAACAATGTTCATTCTCTGTGGAGTGTAAACGATTACGCGTGTGAGTGACATGAGGTTTTACTACATGTATGTCTGGATTGGCCGTTTGCTCTACACCATCTATACAAGATATAGATGTCATAGATAAAAATTGACATCATTTGACAAGTCACGTGACTGTGATTGTTATTTTAACGTATTCGTGTATTTTGTTATGAATTTTAAACTGGCAAAAACTTGCCCAACTTCATCACTGAAGTATAATTATATTTGAACAAATTCAAGTAAATAGTAATTAAGCTATGTTTGACAAATTCTTTTTCAATTAAGTGGCACATTTAGTTCTGCTGGTATTTTTACAGTAAACACAGTGTTGGTGTTGAACGTTCTTGACTTTGACTATGACATCGAAAATTCAATATTGGTCAGGGCCACAATTGTCTTTCGATGTAACGGTAATTGAAAGCCGGAAATAAAATGAAAAGAAGGGGGATAGCTCGTTTGATTCGAAACTGTTCATTTATGATGATTTGGATGCAATTGGACAAAACTGTCATTCAAGTGTCCTCTTGAAATGGGGCAAAGATTTTTCCTGGTTGATTTGTTTTGACCTAGATAACTTTGTATTTGGCCCTTATTGCTTATAAAGACACGAACTTGCCTCACTTTGGCATACTGAGGCTTGGCGTGTACTGCTGCTTCTAGTGCAACCTTTGTCGTTAATACCGTTAGTTCAACAGCTTGCAAGAACCACCATCATCATGAATCGATTCATCGTTTTGCTGCTGCTTTGCGCCATTGCAGGTGAGTTGATCATTGTGTAGACTCATTGGATCATTGGTGTCGTTTTGATTTTGTGGTTATACGTCAATTAATCGTATGTTAGTGTTCTGTGATGCAGTCTTCCAAATGCTGACCTTGCTCTAATCTGCCCAATGGGTCCCTGAGCAAACAAACGACGATAATGTAAACCTTTACACCCATGTTCGCCTGCACCCACGACATAGCGTATGCAATGCACCTCACAGGCTAGTTATCGTTCCGACCCTCGTGCGTACTCCCCGTGAACAATCGAAAAATATCACTTGTATGTTCGACATTCAGAGAATGCGTACACTTCTGAGATTCACATTCAGCAGGGAGCTGGTCACGTGATGAGATCTTCCCCACATTCCGTACAGTCCCACTCACTGGGCACAACTGAGGAGCAGTTAATGAATGTTCATTTTTGTTAAGGATATGCACATATGTACATACAACAAGGGCGGCAGTAAACATAATTGACATACTTAGGCAAACCTGAAAGCACGCAAGTTACGTAAGATTTTACCGGGTAAATTTTACCAATCCTGTGCGAGTTATCCTTTAAACACGATACACTAAACTCGACACATACAATATTTTGGTAACGTTACTTGACGCTGTGCCTTGGATGTCTTTATTACAGATCACTCAGCCACCATATTAACTCCTTTAACGAAGCCTGATCTATTAATCATCTTAACAATGTAAGGATAGTATAGGTCCCAATCGTACTGTATATAATTGAAAGTGAACGAACTCGTTGTACTGTTGCTTGCCAGAAACGAAAAACACAAAAACCCAAGGGGAAAAAAGGAAACGTGTATCTGACCTAAACGAACCAACTGCAGTCAGGCTAGCAAACAACAAGGTTGAACAGGTCCTAAAAACATAACTAAAACATACCAGACCAAATTTTTATATAATACTCTCTTGACCACTCGACCGTTACTCTTATATAACAGGGATAAATTCGCTTCATTCTTATTCATTTCGGCGCCCAACCGAATGATCCTGAAATGAATACAAAAATTGAGATGACTGATGCATCAAGAGAAATCTAAGTCTCTGGGGTAACCAGCTGAAAATTTCTGAATTTTTTTCTGTTTCACGGTTTTTGGTTGATGAATTCGTCAAGTATTGGTGTCGCGGGGATCAGGAAGTTTAAGCGGTACTAACTCAGCCATCTATCCATCCATAAACCAGGGGCGTACCCACAGGGATGGACCTGGGGGAACGTCCCCCCCCACGCACACCTGTACACATGTACACACACAAATTCCACGTGCCAGGTTTAAAAAAAAACAGGTTAAATGGATACTGAATAGGGTTTAATAACAAAAGATTGCCCCCCAAAACGACATCACTGAAAGCTGGTGCACGTAAGATACTTGTGCCCCCACTAGTAAAATTCTAGCTACGCCACTGCTTAAGCGCACCCATTTGGGTCTTAACTCATCTAAAATATTGCGTCAGGGACAAGCGAAACATTTTACCAGAACAATAAAAATCCATATCTGGAAAAATAGGATGAAATTCTCTTAGATTTTTGTGTCTGAAATTGTACGTTATAAGGTTGGTACGTTTGTGTTCTTACAAATTCAACGTTGGCCCGGTAGAAGAATTCTTTGTGACTTTTACCTTGTTTTCCTTTAATATTTTTTTCTGTTCTTTTCTTTATAGTACAACAAATCAATGGCCACCCAGACGCAGATGCTAAACATGGAGGGAATTTGTAAGTAAAGTTATCTGTTAGAATAAATATTTAGGAAGACATTCGTACCTCTTCGTACATTAATAAGGGAACAAACATTTGCTTGGCCGGACTTCTGCAATTATGTTTAAGATCGCGGGTGCTTTGGAATCTGATGATTACCCGAACATATAGCAAGGGCCATTATACAAGCTTTATTTTTATCGGATTCACGAATGAAGTAAATACCTTTTGGTACAATCGACAAAAGTCCTCCCAATTATTCGTATATATACATTTCATGGACTCGCAA